GCCGACGTTGGGAGCCAGTCCAGAGAAGGTGACGTAAGCAGTGAGCGAACCCTGAGGACTGAACAGTCGTTACGGCCACGTGGTCGGGGTCCACGGTCAACTTGGGTGCCTTACCGCGGTCATGCACACGTGGGCAATGCGCAAGCTCCACCAGCGCTATAAATACGGGGCTCTCCTAGGCTGCAAAATTTTCAAGCACTTCTCAGTTCGTCACAGTACAATAAGAGGAGGCAGAAAAATTAAAAGCGGGGGAAAATAAGAAGATGGGGGCTGAAGATATGAAGTTGCCTCCGGGGTTTCGATTCCATCCTACCGATGAGGAGCTGGTTAAACACTACCTCTGTAGGAAATGCGCAGGGCTGTCGATATCTGTGCCCATAATCGCCGATATCGATCTTTACAAGTTCAATCCATGGGATCTCCCAGGTAGCTAATATGAGCTGACTGCTCGTTTTGCTAAGAGAAGGAAATTGTTTTTTTTTTTCTTTTTCCAAAGGAACAAGATAGGATTTTCCTAATTACTGTATCAAAATACGCTCTTCTCTCTTACTGTACTTTGTTTGGTGAATTGTGATAGAGATGGCATCGTATGGGGAGAAAGAGTGGTACTTCTTCTCTCCAAGAGACCGCAAGTACCCCAACGGGTCTAGACCCAATCGGGCAGCGGGTTCGGGTTATTGGAAGGCGACAGGTGCCGATAAGGCAATCGGGACTCCGAAGCCCGTGGGGATCAAGAAGGCCCTTGTTTTCTACGCTGGAAAAGCTCCCAAAGGAGAGAAGACTAATTGGATCATGCACGAGTACCGGCTTGCCGATGTTGATCGATCTGCCCGCAAAAAGAATAGCTTAAGAGTATGCAATTTCTTGAATATTCTTTTTTACCGGTTTGTATTTGATCTAGCTATGGTAAAAATTTGATCTATTTTTTTTAATTACTAATAGTGTCGAAAGAATAATAATTATTATTATTATATGTTTTGTAACATGTAAATTTTTAGAGATAGTTAATGAGAAAAAGAGATTCGGAATATGCATTGAAAAAAAGAAGGAAAGAAAAAAAAACTCATCAGAAGACAAATATAAAACTAATATTCTTTGTGAATTATTCGAGCTAAAGCTAGTAACATTGGCTGGATGACACGTAAATGACCTATTACTTCACCAATTTTACACTTAGATATTTTTTAAGTTGTAAAAAATAACATGTAGATACCCAAAGTTTTAAAAAAGTAACTTTAATATTTCAATTTGTAAAAATTTAGCACTCAAGTACCCTATTGTGTCTCTACTTTTTCACTTAAATGCTGTAAATTATGAAATGTAACACTATAGTACCCTAAGTTATAAAAAAAAAAATAGCACTTTAATACTTTTTGTTAATTGTGACACATATTCTTAAAAATATTCTCATGGTAGGTACTAGAATACACTAGCATGTCAAATTTTTATAATTTAAGATGTTAAAATGCTATTTTTTTAAGCTTAAAATTTTAAAATGATGAATTAATAGGGTATCTAAGCGTCAGTCGTCCTAGGAAATTTATACCAAAACCAAAAGCAGCCTCTCAAGTGTCCCAACTTGCGCATTATTGGATCCTATGAGGCCCATTGTTACAAGTTGCTATTATTACTTTTCACTGATGTAGGAAACGCACCTGATTCCAGCATTTTTAGATGTTTGATTGATACAGATACCGCTTTTGTAGATAATTAAAACAAAAACAAAATCACAACGGTCTCTCTCAAAAATTATTGAATTTGTACTTCAAAAATATTAGTGATGTGGCCATATTCTGTTCGAGCGATAACACATCCGAACTAAAATCTGCCACGTGTCTATTTGCAGTTGGATGACTGGGTAATGTGTCGGATCTACAACAAAAAGGGCGGATTAGAGAAGCATGCGAGTCCGAACCTGAACCCAAGACGGCTCGGGCCCAAAGCCATCCGACCCGATCCGGAGACGCCGGAGCAGAAGCCCGTTATCCCCCTGCTGCACGTGCCAACGCCACCCGGTTCGCACGCGCTGCAAGGGGTGGACACAGTTTATTTCGACACGTCAGACTCGGTGCCGAGGGTACACACGGATTCCAGCTGCTCCGAGCACGTGCTGTCCCCGGAGTTCACGTGCGAGAGGGAGGTGCAGAGCCAGCCCAAGTGGACGGAGTGGGACAAGGCCCTTGATGTTTCGTTCAATAACGGGAATGCCACTGGGATGTTTACGGATTTCGGGTCGGGTTCGTTTGACCCCGGGTTTAGGGACCCGATTCAAGATATTCTCATGTACTTGCAGAAGCCATTCTGGGCAGATGGTGGTAGCACGTGAGGGGGCGTGCGTACTTGTATATAATATTGGTTAGTATAAAATCGGGGGAGGAGCGTAATTTCTTGCATGGCTGTCTAATTGTACATATCATTACAATTTTTTTTCTTTTTTTGATGGTCGTACATACGGTTACAACTTTGGAAGTTAGGTAACCTTATATTGATGGATTTCTTTTTGGGAAAGATGTAATTCGATAGTCCATTACTATTGTAAAAATTAAAGGTCAAGGCATGCGTGATTGCCTGAATGACCTACAAGGCATCCTTTATATTATAGACGGTGGTGGATGTGGAAAATTTTTCACAAGGGAGAATAAGAAGTATTTGTTTATTTAAAAATAAAAATATAATTTTATAAAATTATAATACTTGGAATATGTTTGGTACACTTTAAAAGGTCAATTCAATTTATTCCTGGTTTACTTAGTGTTTTAAGATAGATCGTGTTGATGGTTGATATCAAACAGTCAAATGAAAGGAGTGATTAAATGAGGTGTTCTAATTAATAACCCTCAAAATGTCTTATAAGAGGGTAGGGTTGGGTTCTTCGGTTGCTCCTTCGACGATCAAGTCAATGATTTGCTTGAGTAAGAAAGTAAATTGAACTGTAGTAGTTCTTAAGCATCGTGGATAGAGGTAAAAATATTACCTTATTGTTGAAAATAATATCCCTATTTATAGTGGTGGTAGAATGGTAGAATGGTAACTTCGGCTGAGTATGGGATGACGGTCATGCCAGCCTTAGCTTTACATGTGTCGACCGACAAGTGGAGGAGAGGTCATTTCGGTATTTAAAGCGAAGTGATTGAGGGTGTGCGGTGTCGACGTAGTCCGATGTGTCTTAAAGATTATTGGGGGTAGAGGAATGATGGCACCCATAATGTATTTAATAGTATTTATTGTGAGGTGATTGGTCACCAGTGCACGGGAGGAGGCTCGAGGCTCGAGATATTTTGTTGCCTTTCTACTAGTCCGGTGCCCGATAACTATCACATTTTGGGTCGCATTCGCAAGGTGTTGGCCAATTAGTCGGTCGAGTAGAGTGATTAAGCAGTCGACTTAGCCAGGGGTCGACACGTAACACTTTTCGAGATGTCAGCATGTAACGTCTTTCGAGTCGTTGACATGTAACGCCTTTCAAGTCGTCCCCGCAAGATGTTTGCGTGTCGAGTCAACCGAATTGGGTTTTTGTTATCTTGAAATGCTGACTTGATTATGTATAATATGAGACATTTGCCCGTTATTAATTAAAGATTATCTTTCATCACGAAAATAGCTTATAACAGATGAGAATGCCATTTCTAAGATGTATGCAAGGCAGTTATAAATATTATAAGGAATTATATCCGCCTTCTAAATATTTAGATGTGGAATTGTGCCCTCAACACACACATGATGCTACATCAGTAACCCGCCAATAAGTCAAAACTTTGAAGAAATGTTACGTGTAACATCTAATTAGACTATCAGTCCGAAATACGAAAAGGTAATGGAGCTTATTGTAGTATTTTTCATATTCCCATATTTTCTATTCTTGCACAAAATATGAACATAGATATTCTCTGTGATGTCGAGCTTGACATCTATCACGCACAAACGCGAATCTGAACAGTAATTAGGACAGCAGATACATGTTTTCATTGTAAATGATAAAAATCAAACTTAACTCTTCTTACTCAAAAAATAATGTGTTGATTTTTTTTTCTAATATCATTGAATAGGTAAGCATCATATTATTACCATCTAAACAAAAAGTACTAGACCCCATCACAAGTTGAGCCTCAACAACTTGTAGGCTTACAATCCGCAATTGTCCCTTAGGGGTAACCTAGGCCATGTAGGTTGGACCATCCCAATTAGACTCACCTACATTATATAATTAGGTTTTATGTACGCACAATGCACGCGTTAAATATTATAATTAAATATATTTTGTTTATTTCTTTACTAAATTTTTTATCGGTTCCATTTTCAAGTAATTTGCTCACTTATATATCTAAACTTTAGTATTGTGATTATTATTTTTTTATGTTCGTTCAAATGAGCTACATCCAATTTAAATTTTCTTATTGTAATTAGATTGACATGAGACAAATGTAATACGAAGCCAATTTGAGTTATCATGGTATCTCGAATGATATGAAACCAAGCTTGATCTAAGAAAGTTTAGTGTTGTAGAAGTAAAATATGCTTTGAAAAACAGTGTTATAAAAGGAAGATGAATAAGTAAAGCTAATAAGAGAAGACAATTGACTAATAGTAGGCTAAAATGAAACAAAAGAGAACTCAGATTTTGTTCTTGATCCTTGATAGACTTTTTAAAATCATAAACATGAATGCTAAATCTAGTACCCTTTATATGATAAAAGCATCCACATAAACATGAAAGTACTAAAAATAGTACATGAAAACCCTTCTAAAAATTCCTAATTTACTCAAAAAATAAACTATTCTATAAAATATTCAGAAAACAATGTCTTTCATTTCTTCTGCTTTATTTTTTATTGTATCAGCATTAATCCTTCTCTACTTTTATTTTTCTCAATTACTACTTTTAGACGCTGAAATGAGATAGTAAACCTTAAATTAAAAGTTAAATTTAGATACTCTTTTCTTTGCTAAGTTTTAAAATTTTAGTCCTTTCTTGTGACTTTGTATATTTATGGTGTGTTTTACAAATTTTGAAACTTTAAAAGTATTTTTTAAAAATTTTAAATTTAAGTTGGGTGCTTATAATTTTTGTTTTTCATCGTTGGTGATAAGGTTTCAAATATTAGATAACTCTTGGTACTTTAAAATTTTGAGGGTATTTTTTGCAATTATTGAACTTTGGACTATTTTTTTAAAATTTAAATTTTTTTTTACTGTTTGCTAATAATTTTTAGATTTGATATGTATTGGTTATGAGTTTTGAAATTTTAAGGTTTTTTCTAATGTTTAAAGTTTGAAGGAGTTTTTTATAATTTTTATAACTTTGAGGTCATTTTTAACAGATTTTATATTTTCAGGTGCCTAATAGTAATCCCTTAAATTCACCTTTGTTATTTACAAGTTCTAAAAGTTTAGAATTTTAGGGTGCTTTTTTTATTATTTGAGCTTTCGAAGATGTTTCTATAATTTTAAAAATGTTGAGGGTATTAATTATAAATTTTAAATTCTTCAAGGCTACTGTTAATTTCCAGATTTTATGTTTGTTGTTTTGAGTTTTGAAACATCTTTTGAGGGCATTTTGATAATTTTTAAAACTTTTTAGATTTTTTTAATAATACTTCATATATTATAGCATGTAAGTCATTTACCTTAACAAACTAATACTGTGGAGGTATTTCATGTACTTTATTAATCTTTGTTTTACTTGTTGAGCTGTAGGTAGCTAATATGGGATTAGAATAGGATATAATTATGGTTAGAATAGATTAAGATTTAAATGAAAGATTCAAAACAATGTAGGGTAATATTGACCATAGAAAGCTTTTCTCAAACTCGTACTTTTAAAGAGAGCATGATTCATATCATTTGTATTAATATTTATTTATATTAATATAAAAAGAGGATTTGAGTGTTAAAACTTTAATTTTTTTACCCTCTCAAATTTTGATAAATTCTAAATATGCCATTATCTCTATTTGATGTATTAAATAAATATAACGTCTTATTAATTATGAGCCTCCTCACCTTCCTAAATAATTATAATTATCAATAATATTATAACAATTAATTTTTTAAACATAATATAATAAAATAAGTTATAAAATAAGTACACACAATTATTAGTAATAACCAATTAAATTATTATAATAATTCTTTATGAATTATATTAAAATAATTAAAATAATAATGTAAATAGAATAATATATTTCTAAATTCTATTAAGAATTAAACTATAATTCAATGATCAATAAAATAAATAGAATAAATATTTAATCACATAAATAGTGTAATTATTTTAATAATGTCACATAAATTATAAAGTACACTATTTATTTAGTGTTATATTATTATATTAATTGAATAAACAATTTAATATTATTTTTAAGTATTTGATCAAAGATTATTACATGATACTGAATAATCTGTATTTGATAATGATTGAAAACTAACTTTAAAAAAACTCATTTAATATTAATAATAGCACTATTAATTGTTAATGATAGGATAATAAAAATTTATAAAATATTTATAGTACTAAATTATTTAAGTGCATAATTAAAAGATTAAATTAGACAAATATCTTATAGTATAAAGATAGTACAATTATTTTAATAGTATTATTGAACTAAGAATATAATATTAAATAAGGTAAATTACAGTAAACCGCCACAAACTTCAACATTTTACAGTAAATAGACCTTATGAACTTTCAAAATCACACTGAACCCCTAATAACTTTTCTAGAAAGCCCCGAATATTTTTTAGATAAATTACACCAAACTTCCACTAACTTTCAAAATGCCTTTTTATGCCATCTTCTAATTCTAATTTATAGAAGTTACTTGCAAAATTTAGAAAGTTATTGAGTGTTTCTTTGAAACAAAAAAGTCATTAGGAGATAGTGTGATTTTAAAAGTTCATAGGGGCTAAAAGTTCATAAAGGTTTAATATAATTTACCATATTAAATAATTATAATGAAAAGTACTACTACAATATGTTGCAAATAGTAACTCTAACTATATAGGGAACATCAGGAAAAAAACTAGCAAGATTAATACAGCTTAATTAATTTAGAATTAAGTTAACAACTTTCATATTAGAGGGACATATTTAAGAGAACGTATAAAATTGACATTATTTAAAAATAATATTAAATTTGGGGGATTTATTTAAAAAATATTAGCATTGGCGAATCATTATAAGAAAAACATTCAATTACAAATAACTATATGGTAGTAATTTATTAATACATTTTTTAAAGCAACCTTATTATACAATTTTAGTTATTAACACATAATGATTATTCAATAAAAAATTTAAAACTTAAAACATATATGTTTATGTGCAAAGCACATGCATTATACTTTTAATATTGACCATATCAGAAATCATAGTTTACTCCATCTAATATGAATCTTATTTTATCCCAAGAAAAAAACATAATATTGGCCAGATAGTCTTACACCAGCCAAATCATAAAAGAAGACTATTTTAATGTTTCAACTTTCAAATATGTTAACAAGGTCATGATTATCCACCCTTTTTCTGAACTGAAAATATAAATAGTTGTAATGGGAATATGCTCCAGAATATTTTTTTTCTCACGTGCTTTTGGATTGTCA